CCCCCAAAAAAAAATTAATTACAATGATTTTACTATATAGTTATTAGAAAATTTAAAGGGGGGACTCTTTTCATAATTAAAATGAATTTGAACATTGAATTTTGTCCTGTAAAGATAATGAAGAACATAATCAAAAAAGGATGATATAAGTTCCTTGAGGTTAATGTTGTCAATCTCTCCAAATGTGGCAAAATGTTCTGATATGTCTTCCTGAAACAAATTAATAGAATTTTAGATTAGTGACATTTAAATTGGATACCATGTGTAAGGAACTATATAATTTGAACGGAAACTTCAGATACAATCGAAACACCATCCACATGTCCAACCGGCTATACTACATGATTCTAACTGTCATTGTCCTTTTCAGGGGATCGAGTATATTCATACTTTCCCCCTTAAGGGGGGGGGGGGGAGTACGATTTCAGCCCAGGGAAGAAAATTCACGAAAAACAGAGAAAAAATAGAGGAAAGAAAAAAGTGAAGAAAAGAGAAAAAAGGAGATGAAAAGCGAAAAATGTAAGAAAAGGGAAGAATAGCTCTGTTAAAAGAAGGAGAAAGATGTATCACCGAAATTTATGAGTCTGGGGAAGAAAATCCTGAAGATATTTCATTCCCTTTATTTCTGAATGGTGATATTATTACTTTCCCCAGATGCTTAGGAGAAGAGAAAAAATCACGATTTCCCCAAAAAATATTTTAAAGTTTCTCCCATTGCTTATGGGGGAACAAAAACTGAAAGTTTAAAATATTTCCTTTATACCGAGTCTCATTTCCCAAATGTATTTTAAGTTATAATGGAAGAGAAAAAAAAGAATCTTTTAGAACCTTCACTGTTGCGCAGACACAAACTGCTTGGAATTAAAAACAGTTAAGTATCAAACAAGATTTTTACAATTTGTTCAATTATCTCAATTTTTTTATTCTGCAAATTTTGGCGTACACAGGAATCTATGCAAACCCTTATTGGGGGGAAAAATATCACAATATTTTCCTTAATAGCAATATCATGTTTCATCCCCATTAAAAAAAGCTTTTCTGTTACCAACATACATGACGGAAAACATTAGCTTTAAGAATTTTAAAAAATCTTAGGGAGGGACCTGGTTTTTGACACTCCATTGTACATCCAAAATACAAAAATGTTCTCCCCCCCCCCCCTGCAAGTTGTGCGGGCTGCGTCACCTTGTTTAACAAACCCTGATGTTTTGGTTGTGACTTTGGGGAAAAATATGATTTAACAGGGGGGGGGGGGAGAGAGGAATATGAATCTCATAAATATTATACACCCCTGGTCCTGGTTAAGTGGGTAAAAATGTGACAAAAATGTAACGGCTGTTAATTCAGAATAACAATCAAGGGGAAAGATGCAAAATGACTTAAATTATGGTAAAATAGCTAGTTTGCGATAAAAGCGGGGAGGGGGGATCAATTCAACTTCTAAACAGAGTATACTCCCCAGTGTCTTTTGTCATTGTTTTTCTACCAATCGTGCGTTTTTCTGGCTGTTTTTATTATTAAATCTAGCAAGAGTTTTTCTACTGATCGTGTGTGATTCGGGCTGTGTTTGGTAATTCTACCTGTTGATCAGTGATCGAATCTGTCGAATCTGCAGGGGTAAATATTTAAAAGAATTACCCACCACCCCCCTCTTTTCAGGGGAAACAATTGAACAATTTAACGTCAAAGTCATCTTTAAATATTTGTATTATGGATTTTAACAATATTATTTTCCCATATTACCTCAAAAAAAAACCTTTTTTAAACGAAATAACTAGCATTTGGGAATGGAAACAACTTTCTTTAAAGGAAAATATACACCCCTGTCAGAATGTGTTTCTAACTAAAACGTAAATTTATACTAACAAATTGTATTTCTACCGGTTGTGTTTCGATGTATTCATATGTAGTCGTAATTGTGTATTTCTTAACATGTTATCTTAGCTGTCTAGTGTATTTCTACCTTGATGAGTTTCTGTCAGTGCTTAGGATCCGGATCCAAGGGGTAAAATATCTACCAAAAACCGCATAAACAATCTTTTTTACTCCAAAACCCCAAATCTGAACTTTTGAAAAAAAAGATTATAAAAATTTCCTCATTTCTGAGTGGTTCATACAGATTTAGGATAAAAATAAGCGAAAAAAATAAAACCAAAAATTTGAAAATCTTGTTTTGTTAAAAAAATTCAGTAAATCTAAAAGAAATGACCTGGATCTTTATCAGTTCGGATCCAGGATCCGGATCCGCATCAAAATAGAATGGATCCTAAGCACTGGTTTCTGCCTACCGTTTCAACAAGGGCATACAGAGTGGGGGGGGGCAAAGGGGGACAATGCCCCCAGACATGTAAGGGGGGACGTAGCCCCCTCTAGAACTTAGAGCTGTCACACATTTAAATGAATGAAGAACTTTATTATTTAAAATACAAGGGGTCTGTCCTAGTAAACGATTTTTGGACATGACCAAATAAGTCTTTATTAAGCATTATTTAGTGTTGTGTTAGGTTAAGAGACTTTCTGGGCCGAGCGCTGCGGTTAGGACAGGCAAGGTGGCCGAGCGCTGCGGCCACGGGTTAGGCTAGTTAAGACACTTTCTGGGCCGAGCGCTGCGGCTAGGACGGGGGGTCCAAAAATCGTTCTCTAGGAATATACCAATACAAGTGGACTCATAGTTTTACAAGTCATTATTGTTTTCTGGACCTTAGTCCTTTTTTTGAGTTGAATTTTTCATTATCAAAAGTGTCTTTTGTTATCTCTAGTTCAGAACAATAAAATGTCGTTTTTCAAAAACCAGTTTTTTTCTGCTAGTTTTGTTTAAAAGAAAGATAACTTTCAAGGTAATTAAACTGTATGTGTACCTTTAAAGTATCTTATACTTATGTCTAATATCCAAGAAGTCAAATGTTTTGAATTCACATTTAAAATTTGCCCCCCCCCCCAGATTTATTTCTGTATTGAGTCCGTTTACATTTGTATTCGTCGATTCGTTAACTTGGTTGTTTTTAATTAGAACCCGAGTGAATTATCAAAGTCTTCATCTTTCGATCCTAACTTTCTGTTTATCTTAAAATATAGTGACTGCATTTCCACATTGTAAAGACGCTTTAATACCTGTGTTGCGTCTTGAGGCAGACCTCCGACAAATAGTTTTCTATCATCCTCGTCCTCCACAACTATCTGTTGCTGAGGATCCTGTTCTTGCTGCTGCTGCACCTGTTCAGTCTCGTTAATTGTTCCTGCCTCTGCCATCCTCCTGAAATGCGCAACAAATTCACACCTAAATCTACTAAAACATTATTACAACAAAATAGACTTGAAACCCCGTGGTAAAGTGAAATCAAACTTTTAAAACTTTCGTTAGTAATTAAATAAAAAAAGAAATAGTTCCTATATAATATGCTTTATTAGGGATTACAGAGGGCAATAAATTCCCCGATCAACAAAATTTATCAAGGAAGAGATGGTGGAAGAGTCAACAACGGAATTAACTTCTAGTCAAATATACAACATTATGAACGAGAGAGAAACTACGTTTCCGATAGAATCCTAATACATGGGGATGATTAAAATGTAGTTTACGAAGATCACGACTAATTCACAGAAAAAGATGATTTTATTTATTCCACGATATATAAAATTGTCCTTCAAATTCACTTCAATTTAATTCAATTATATCACTGAACACCTGTTGTATTAGAACGGGGCTGGAAGTAAAATAATCACACAGAGAGAAATTTTCGGCTTTTTTGAACAATCCTTCGGGCGGCGTGCAAACCTGAGAATGTTTGGTTTGGAAAATAATAAATGTTACAAAACCGCGTAGACTCAAGATATCGTCTTTGTTACACTATTTTGAAAAATTAAAAGAATAGAAGTGAATCAATAAAATACTTGATTAATTTCGGGATCATTCAACTTTAAAAATTTAGATGATACAAAATGTTTGGTTATTATGAAAAAAAATTTAATATGTTGTTTTTCTTGATTCTACGTAGTTTTATGAGTTTAGAACTTGAAGTTTAGTTTGAAAAGAACTCAACTGTTTCAGGAAAGCAAACTCAGCTGTGTCCGTTGGCACTCATTATTATCTTGAAAATGGCAGAAGTGACAGATGAAAAGTGGTTAATTCTCCTTAATTTTGGAAACCTTTAGCCGTCAATCAGTGGGTCTGTCCTAGAGAACGATTTTTGGACCCCCCCGCTCCTATCAATTTTGTGCATTATTTTTAAATCGATTTTTAGGGTATTTTGAAAAGAACTTTTATTATTATTTTTTATTTTTTTATATTTAAAAAAAAAATTTTATTGAATTTTATGTAGCTCTAAAAAAGACTTGTTAAAATTACTGTAAAGTTTTCATGAGGTTTTCTGTGTGTGGGTCCTTTCTCCTGTCTGATCAAATACTTTGCAACAAACAGTTCTTAAAAAAATTAAACTAATAAAATCTAATAAGAGCAAAAGAGTTACTTTTTGACCAAAAGCTGAAAAGGCTTCCCACGTGGGTCCGATATTCCCGGAAAATGCGTGAGAGGTTACTTCCTAAACAACGACGTGTGGGGTCCTCATTCAATTATCTCATCTCATCATTCCAACAGATAGGGAAAAACGGGAGATTTCTAAAAAGGCTATGGCTAAGAAAAGAGAGAAGGAGAAGATCAAGAAGCTGAAGGAGCAAGGATGGTAATGATGATCCGCTCTACTGCCCATCCGTCCTATTGCCCATCCGCTATACTGCCCATCCGACCTTTGCAACATCTGACCTACGACAGCTGTATGGTCGGATGGGCATATCTTCTTGCCTATCCGACCTATTTAGCAGCTTATTTTGTCATGCCATAGCGCAGTAGGGTGGAAATAATTAATTGTAGCTGTCGGATGGCCACTCAATTTTGTAGGTCAGATGGGCACTTTTTGTAGGTCGGATGCCATTTTTCGTAGGTCGGATGGGCACTTTTTGTAGGTCGGATGGGGATTTTTCGTAGGTCGGATGGGCATTTTTCGTAGGTCGGATGGGCACTTTTCGTAGGTCGGATGGGCATTTTTCGTAGGTCGGATGGGCACTTTTCGTAGGTCGGATGGGCATTTTTCGTAGGTCGGATGGGCATATTTCGTAGGTTGGATGGGTGCATATATTTCGTAGGTCGGATGGGCACTTTTTGCAGGGGGGACGCGAGCGCTGCGGCATGCATGAAAGACCTATCATAATTAACAATTTTTAATAAAATTAGTGTATATATTTATACAGTAGGTTCTAGGTTAATCATTTCTGGGCCGAGCGCGGTGGCTATGACTGGCTAGGGGGGCCGAGCGCTGCGGCCATAAAAGACCTTTAATTCAACAGTTTTTAATTATATTACAGCGTATATGTAGGGTTAGGTAGATTAAGCTCATTTCTGGGCCGAGCGCTGCGGCCATGAAAGACCTTTAATTCAACAGTTTTTAATAAAATTAGTGTATATTTAGGGTTAGGTTAGGTTAAGCTCATTTCTGGGCCGAGCGCTGCGGCTAGGATGGGCTAGGGGGCCGAGCGCTGCAGCCACGGGTTAGGTTAGTTAAGACACTTTCTGGGCCGAGCGCTGCGGCTAGGATGGGCTAGGGGGCCGCGCGCTGCGGCCACGGGTTAGGTTAGTTAAGACACTTTCTGGGCCGAGCGCTGCGGCTAGGACATGCTAGGGGGCCGAGCGCTGCGGCCACATGTCTTGGCCGACCTACGAAAAATGCCCATCCGACCTTCGAAAAGTGCCCATCCGACTGTGCATCGGACCTACCACAGCTGTTAAAACCACGTGCTTGTAGGTCGGATGGGCAGTAGAGGGGATGGGCGTAGGTCCAAAAATACACCATCGCAAGGATTGTGTCTGTTCGAGGGTGAAATAATTCCAGTGATGGAGGCAAGGAAGCGTGGTGGTCATAAAGGGGGTTCCAAAGGTCATAAAGGTGGTTCTCATGGGCACAAGGGAGCAATTCATGGGTCGAAAGGTCTTGAAAATGGGTATATAGGTGGTGAACATGGGTGGAAAGGGGGTGAACATGGGCCGAAGGGGGAAAAGGGGAAAGGTGGAAATTTTGGGTATTTGGGAGGAGAATATGGGGTGATGGGAAAAAAATATGGGGTTAAAGGAAATTTTTTTTTTTACAAGTTTTTTTTTAAAATACCCTAAAAATAGATAAATTATGTACAAAATTGATAGGAGGGGGGGGGGGGTCCAAAAATCGTTCTCTAGGAAATTACCTCAATCATTAAATTCTGAAAGTCAAAGTCAAAATTTTAGTACATATACTTATATTTTAAATTTTTGAACTGATTTAAAGTGTGTCTATCCCGACTTTTAAACTTAACCGTTAATTTTCTTAAGTTAAACATACATTTTCTTGCTGAATACATTCAGTAAATGATTCACTGAATGTATTTTGGGTCTGTCCTAGTGAACGATTTTTGGACGCCCCCCAGGCCCCCCCCTCCTATGAATTTTGTACATGATGAAATTNCCCCCTCCATACTAAGTGTCTCTCAGAGGATTGATTTTGTCGTAACTGTCTTTGCAAGAGTTTTGTTGATAAATTGTTTTTCTTTGTTGTACATTTTCTAAACAAATATAAAATTAAGAGTCTTTCCCATAATTTCATTTGGCCATCCAGAAAAAGTATTCCAATCTCAATTAGTGGTTTACCAAGATACCAACTAATTATTATTTTGTATTTTCAGAGAAAGCAATGAATGTCTAAGAAATGTACGGCAACTATGCTCCTAGCGGGGATCCCGACAATAACACGGCCTCGGGGTCCTTGAATATCAACCAGCTAATAGAGCTTTCGAAAGGGGTATACTTTTTTTTGCATAATTTTTTTCTTATAAATAGAGTATATAGAACATATATATACATAACGAAAAGCTTAATTATGAATTAACTTAAGTGCTCGTCGTTAAACGTTTTTTTATAAAAATCGTATTTAGAAAGAAATTATTTTTAAAATAAAAAAATCGCATTTTTTGCATATGTGACCCCTTGGATACAAATGGGTTCCCTCAAACAAATTCAGCCAATTTGGTCCAACCGTCGTTTGGCCAGCTATAACTAACATATTCAGATACAAATATAAATTAATTTTTTAATTTTTATCCTATGTTACGGTGTTACCTTGAGGGTAACCATGTGTTCCCTCAAAAATTATTCGGTCCAGCCGTTTGGCCAGCCATAACCTACATATATATAAACAATTATATGTGAGCGAAGAGCTTTGTTGTATAGATGAAAACCGAGAAACTGGTCTGCTTTATAGTTATACACAAATATTTAAATATATATGAGCGAAGTGCTTTATTATATACCTTCATTCTGATCTTGCTTTAGTTCGAGAAACGAATGAACAAGAAGCAAAACTCGCATAGCGGCCCAGTTAGATATATTTCAGCTTCAGGTGAGAAATCTAAAATAATGTTATATTAAATGAATGAAATCTGTAACTGTCAGGGGTGTCAACTGTGGGGGGGGGGGGGGAGATTGGATGCACATCGGAGAATTTCCTACCCTACAATCCTAGAGGGGTGCTTGACATCAAAACTTCTCCGAGCTTAAAATTTTATACAATTAAAAACATATTTAGGAACTAAGCCTAAGGTTGATGGACCAGTTAGATTCAGGAATTCAGAAACGTAAGTGTCATAAATAGAGCTAATTATATTATTAAATAATGTGAGGCTCCACCTCTTTACACTTCGAATTAATTTGATAAAAGCTGAAGAAAACCCTTTTTACGAAAAATATTTTTATTTTAAATCCATTTTGTATTTGTGTTTAGAATTAGGGAGAAGTACAACATGAACATGAAGGAACTGGATGAGGATCTGAACAACAGTTTTATGTAAATATTATTCTGGGATTAAATATTCTCTCTTTTCAAAGAATACAAAGGACTTCTTGTTTCATGTAATTTGATATCAAGTATGGCGTTACAAGTAAATCAAAGGTTTTCAACTTGCTGATCGACATTATCAATATCACAGATAAGAATAAAATAATTAGATTATTACCAAATTTAATGTATGAAATACACGTTATAAATGTTTTTAAGCATTTGTCTGATAGAAAAATTAACAATGGTGTAAACTTAATAATTACAACTTTTTAGACCATTCATTAAGAAGAGAGTTGGGTTTCTTTCCTAGTCACGAATAGGAATTGTAAAAACAATGAATAGTATTAAACACTGATTGTTCATGCCCGGCCATTCTTTTCTCCTTTTTCCCTGCTATTTTATTACTATTTTATAACTAATTCCTGAGCTTTTTTGTATCAAAGTAAGATCGAAACAAATCCTTTCTCCTTCTTTTTAGTTCTATTAGACTATTATTCCTTAAATGTTTTTCATTATTAATGTTAAAAATCATCAAACAGTCAAAGTACCACGACCTGTAAGTTATAATATAAGGAAAACATGGTTGAGCTCCCCCACTTACCTTGACCTGTACATTAAACAGTATATTGTTGATTCCGATTCAAAGTTAAAGACTTATGAGGATTTGAGTTGGTGATTCAAGATTTGAACCAGTGGGAGGTAGTTCAGCAACCTCTCCAAATCATTAAATTCTGTCCCTTATTTCAGTGAGGATCCGAACCAGAAGATGATGATGACTCCTTCTCACAAGAAATCTCCAGATTCCGGTTCATTTACAGAGGTAGGCTTTAACATTCCAGAGCTGGAAACTATTGTGTTGGATACACATTCTCCGGATCACTTGTTCTCGATATCCACTGTGAACACTTTTGAGAATTAATTCTTAAATTCTTAATTTCAGTTATCCCTTACCATGCGGGATATCGAATAAAGATTAAATTAATCTGCAGATTAACAAAAGATCGAGATCAAGCATTGATCTTGATATCCACAATACAAAAGTTCAACCTTCCCAGTAATGAATACACAAGACAAGGCGCATCGATAGTTCACAAAAATCAAAGTGAAGAAAAGATTATTTCAAATAAGCAAGGATTCCTCTTTGGGATGATGGGGTCAGTCGAGTTCCGAGTATTGTGTGTGTGTTTTCCTTCAAATATTGAGTTTAGACCAGATTTAAGTCAGACCTACTCTGAATATGCGAGTTTTGTTATAAGAGAACAAACTGAATTTTGCTAATGAAAGTAAGAATTGTTAATTGTCAAGTTTACATTTTTTCAGGAGATGAGCCTCGTAGGATATAAATTTGGAGGAAACCAAGGACTTCGGATAGATAACAGGTATAGACGGATATATTATAATTGCAGACGGATAGAGAATAGGTACAGACTGATGGATAACAGGTACAGACGGGTAGATAATAGGTACAGACTGATGGATAACAGGTACAGACGCGTAGATAATAGGTACAGGCTGATGGATAACAGGTACAGACGGGTAGAAAATAGGTACAGACTGATGGATAACAGGTACAGACGGATGATGAATAATAGGTACAGACTGATAAAAACGGATAAAAGGTACAAACGTATAGACTAGAAATTAGACAATAGGAACATACTTATATAAAATAGGTACATTGGGGTAGATTAAAGTTTCAGAGACGGAAAGATAAAAGAAACAGGCGGATAGATAATAGGAACAGGCGTATAGATAATAGGAACAGGCGGATAGATAATAGGAACAGGCGGATAGATAGGAACAGGCGGATATATAATAGGAACAGGCGGATAGATAATAGGAACAGGCGGATAGATAATAGTAACAGGCGGATAGATAATAGGAACAGGTGGATAGATAATAGGAACAGGCGGATAGATAGTAGGAACAGGCGGATAGATAATAGGAACAGGCGGATAGATAATAGGAACAGGCGGATAGATATTAGTAACAGCCGGATAGATAATAGGAACAAACGGATAGATAATAGGAACAGGCGGATAGATAATAGGAACAGGTGAATAGATAATAAAAACAGGCGGATAGATAATAGGAACAAACGGAAAGATAATAGGAACAGGCGTATAGATAATAGGAACAGGCGGATAGATAATAGGAACAGGCGGATAGATAATAGTAACAGGCGGATAGATAATAGGAACAAATGGATAGATAATAGACAGGCGGATAGATAATAGGAACAAACGGAAAGATAATAGGAACAGGCGTATAGATAATAGGAACAGGCGGATAGATAATAGGAACAGGCGGATAGATAATAGTAACAGGCGGATAGATAATAGGAACAAATGGATAGATAATAGGAACAGGCAGATAGATAATAGGGAAAAAACGGATAGATAATAGGAACAGGCGGATAGATAATAGGAACAAAGGGATAGATAATATGTACAGACGGATAGATAATAGCTACAGGCGGATAGATAAAAGGAACAATCAGAAGGATGAAAGGTTCAGACGGATAAATAATAGGAAAAAATTGGTTTTTATATGAAACAAGACTAAGTTTATTTGCTTAAACCTGACCTTGCAGTTTACTTTAAGAACAATTCTTATGTGTTTACTGGTTCTTGAACCAGATTTAAGTCACTTTTTAGAAGGCCACCGTATGCTTTATGGTTTTAACATTCCTGTTTTTATTTAGTGAGCAAGAGCAAGACTCGAGTCTTATCCGTGCATTCCAACCTCTCCAGTTGAACGATCCTCTCTCCAACTCTGCGATGAACCCGGAGCTAAACCTGAAATATATTCCGAACTCAAGATCTCCATCCAAGAATTATCTATCTCCGGACTCTGGCTCATTTACCCTTAGTGTTAGCTCTAAAGAGGTAAGGATTTAAAGCAATAAAGAAATGCAAAAAATGTTTAACATTCGAGAAAATTTAAATTTAGACAATATTATTTCTAAAAGGATTGTAAGCTTAATTTAAAGGGACCCTCCATGCGAAGATGCCAATGCCCTATTCAGAAAGCTTTGTCTGATCAAGTATAAATTAAATATCAATGTTTTTAGTTTTGAAAACTGATTATTTTTAATGGTTGTTTCTCGACAGAAATGATAAGTGCATTTCTCCTGCAGACAACATATAGGAATTATTAGAGTTGAACACGTTTAATCCTAGAAAAACGTCAATATCTTTTAAGTAATTGATCAGATAAAGGTTTCAAGGCTACCGTTGTGAATCGGGCATCAGGGGAGGATATGGGATATAAGTGAGGGGGGTGCTAGATTTATTTGGAAACAAAAAAATCCAGATTTAGGAACCTAAAGACGCGCCGAAGGGGAATTTTTTTGACTCCTGTTTTGCACTAGGTTGTCGGGCATTGCCATCTTTGTAAAGAGAGTCACTTGAAATAACGTTCACAGTCCCTTTAAGTAATCTTTAACTAATTAGGATGATGTTGATGTAAAAACGTCAGCTGACCTGACCTCTTCTACTCATCAGATCAAAGTAAACCTTAACTCTGCGTTAAAGTCTCTGGGTGAGAAACCAAGGTTTGCTCCGGTTAGAACTGGAGTTAAAAAGAATTTATCCTACATGAAACCAGTTCGTATGAACACCACGACGGAGGTTAGAAACAAAGAGAATATTGAAGATCCGTCCAGAGATAAACCATCCATCAGGGAGAGGATGGAGGCCTTGGCCCAACCCTCTGATGTTGCCGAGTTCACTCATCCATCAACTTCGTCTCGTCTTCACATCATCAGCTCCTCACAACATCTTAATCTCAAGTCTCAAACATCCTCCCGTCTAATGAGTGCTCCCGCTCTCACGGGTACCACAGCTGTCCACGTACAGGAAGCTTCTAACGACCAAACTGATGATCGTTCGTCCGTCTACAGGAGTTTCGTCCAGGATATTCTTTCTCGAACTAGCGAGGGTAGAGCTGAGGACAAGCTAGGTGAGGACGTGTCTACTCCGTACCGTGATCATGACAGACCAGAGAGAGGGTTGGAGAGTGTGGATCGGAAACTCTCCGGAATAAATTTGGCGGATAGAACCCCGTCCCAGCTCCGACCTCATATTGACAAACATTCCGAGTACCCTGAAGGAGGTCAACGATTCACCGAGAGAGGTTCAAATATTGGTAACTCGGAGAGAACTGCTAAGGAAAGTCTGTATCCCGAAATACCCGTTCAAATTCAGGTAATTTTGAAAGCTTGACAACATTTTTAATACATTTTTATTTTGATTTTGATTCAGGCCAGAGAAGAAAGACACATTCCTCATTCGTCGGTATCAATACCTCAGAGTACTCCTGCCCAAATCCACCAGAGGACTCCATTCTCAGAAGTGACTCCCAGAGGTTCAGATACTCCTCGTTACACTCTTCATCCTCGATGCCTCGAACCTGGAGCAAGGTTGCCGGAGACACTAGCTCCGAGGGTGCAAGAGACTTTAGCTCCGGCTCCTACTCCAAGTAGAAACCTCTCCCTTCCTCCCAGAGATCCTGATAGGTCAGTTAATTCAAGAACACTTTCAAATTTTTAAAACCTATGATCTTTTTACCGCTTTCGTCTACTATGTTTTTTTAATCTATCTATGTATTCATTATGACTCCCTAATAGCACGAATGTTATCAGGTAACCACCCCTCCCGGCAACCCTCCCATATATTGAATTATCTCCAAGCTTTTAAGCCATATAAATACATGATACGGAAATGAAGTGGATATCAATGTTCATAATTATTTTCCAGGACTATGCCTCCACCCAGTATGTCTATATCGAAATCACACAAGGAATCTTATCTTGTTATCAACGACAGAAGATATAAGGTAATGCTAGGGGACCTTTTTGTTAGTTTGATGATGGAACTCCTAAAATACTGGGATTTGCCGTNGGATTTAATCGTATTTATTTAAAAAGCTTTGTTATTAATTTAGTTTTTATGGGAATAATTTATTTTACTTTTCTATTTATCCATCTAGTTCAGAGATTAAAATGCTATTTCCACGACTTAGAAGTTTTCAAAATTGCAACAGTCTAAAATATGTAATCAATACAGTTTAATTTTTAACCAATGCTTCGGATCCGGATATAATGAATTTGCTATAATTTGGCTTCCTGGTTTATGATCCGCATTATTTTGGCTTCCTCGATTCGAATCCGCGACATTTTGGCTTCATGGATTCGAATCCGCAACATTTTGGCTCCTTGATCCGGATCTGCAACATTTTGGTTTCCTGGATCCTGAACCCCAAAAATATGCGGATCCGAATCCAAGAAGCTTAATATCGACGAAAAACTGCAAAAAAAAACTTTTTATTCTTTAAAACCATTATCTAAACTGTAAAAAAATGCGCAAAAAAAATCGGGAAATTTTTCAGAAATATTTTTTCCTGGGAGAATCCAGGATCCGGATCCGCATCAAAATGGAATGGATCCCGTTTTTAACCAAAAGTCATTTTCACTAGTTTATCTAGTTTAGAATATGGAGATATCATGAGAATATTTATCCCTGTATAACCTGAAAAATACTTACTTTAACCTTGTATTGTTTAGATCATGAAGCTGCTGGGGAAGGGTGGGAGTAGCAGGGTCTATGAAGCATTCGACGAGCAGAAGAATATCGTTGTAGCGATTAAACGGGTGGATCTCAGTAATGCGGATGAGGCCCAGGCAGAAGGTAAAAAAAGTGGTTTTGAAATTTTGAATTTTTTTTAACGTTCGGATATGTACAAGTGAAGTTTTATGTATATTTTTTGCCAATTTTCACTGTTGAAAACCTTCATTCTGATTCAAGAGACAATTTATCTTAAATTTTAACTAATGTCATGGGAGCTATTGATCTGTTGAAACTTTGTAACAAAACTGCAACACATGGAAGCATTTTGTTGAAATGTTCATTATCTTAAACGGCAGTAGGTCGGGCAGTATTGGATCTTATTAAAACTATTAGAAAAGAAATCTGAAAAAGAGGTCCCGTTATGAACCCCCCAGTAGTCAAGAGAAAATATCGTCTTGTTAAATAAGCGCCGATTTTTTTGTAGAACTCTTTCAAACAGATATCGGACAAAACTATGAGCTAACTGTTTCTCATCTAAAATATCTTGGCTCTTGTAAATTTTAGAGAGAAAAAATCATACTGACATTAATTATTATTTAGGATATATAAATGAGATCAATATGTTGAGTAAACTGCAGGGTGAGGATAGGATTGTCCGTCTCTATGATTTTGAGAAGAACGATGCCGAGGATATCCTCTATGTTGTGATGGAGAAGGGAGATACCGACCTCGCTACTCTACTCAAGGTTACTAATTATTATTAATTTATTTTTTTAAAAGAAAAATCAAAATACTTTTACAAACTTAAACTACTAAACTTAAAATCTTTTTTTCTGATTTGTGGTATTATTATCATTTTATTTTTCTAAATTTAAATTAAGAAACTTTCGTAATAGAAAAATCAGATTTGAGGGTTACCGAACTCTAAAATATTTTGTTTTTTTTTCAATTAAAAGAAAATTTGTATTAGATTCCTTAAATATGAGAATTTCCCATATTGAATGCTCAATACGTATTTTCGTCTTATATTTTCCATCATTAATTTTTCTCATTAAAATTAGTATTTCGACCTTTTATTACAGTCTTATTGTGACGTTTAACAACGTCACAATAACCACACAGCAACGTCACGTTTTCTGCTATTTGTGTCGATCAGTTACCCTTATTAAAAATATATCAGTTATTTTTGATGGAGTGGATACAAAACGCTCAAGAACAAAATGTCCAATAACAAAACACCCAAAAACAAAACACCCAAGATTACAAAATGTCCCAAGTTACAAAGTGTCCAAACTTACAAAATGTCCAAAGTTACAAAATATCCAAATTTTCATAACCTTGGGCATTTTGTAATTTTTGACATTTTGTAATTTTGGACATTTCGTAATTTTGGACACTTTGTAACCTTGGACATTTTGTAAATTTGGGCTTTTGTTATCTTGGGTGTTTTGTTATTTAGGTGTTATGTTTTTTTACGATTTGTAACATTGGGCGTTTTGGGTGATGTGTAATTTTGGGTCTTTTGTTATTGGATTTTTTGTTATTGGACATTTTGTTTTTGGACGTTTTGTATCCACTCCTTTTTGATAGCTCATATTGAAGACATTAAATGGAAACATGGTTTAGGTCGTGATGTGTGGATCATCTGAAATTATTAAATAAAAGATCCCGGCGAAAACTCTTAGCAGAGAAGTCACAGAAGGATTACTTAAACCTTCTGTGCTTGATTTGATTTGATTTGATTTGATTTGATTTGATTTGATTTGATTTGATTTGATTTGATTTGATTTGATTTGATTTGATTTGATTTGCGTATTTTTTAGAACTACGCGACCCATAAGGAGATTACTCCAGCAATGATAAAACACTACTGGACGGAGATGCTTCACGCTGTTAGTGTTATTCACAAGGAAAACTCATCTTTAACAAAATGTTTTTGATCTTTCTCAGGATTTTTTCCTCATTTTTTAATTTTTATATTGTTTAAGATTCTTAAACCGTTCTTTATCTTAATTAAAAGCGTTTTTTTCATGTTAATTTTTTCATCCCAGATTTATTATATTCATAGCGAGTTGTTTGGTGTGGAAGTTGGACTCTTCTTATTCTAAACGTCTGATTTTATTTCGTATAATTGTGAAACTTAACACGATAAAAATACTTCTTGTCACCATTATGTTTGACCTTATAAGCTGTATTAAAGCACTTCGCGGTGTTTATTTTAGTATTTAACTTTAAAAACGCAACAAAAGTATTTATTTCTTTTAAAAATATTAATTGTTTTAAAATTTGAAATGGACAGGAGGTTTAAGAAAAAATAACCATTTTTGCGTGTTCCCCCTTAAAAATACATTTTAGAATTTAATACGTATTTCCTTTAGCAATCTAATGATTTTTAATGTTTTAAAACTGGTTTTAACTCAGGACATGAAAATGTTTCTGAACATTGGATCTTATTTTAAACTTCACATAATTCATAAGATTGAGATCTGTTATAGTCTGGTATAATTCACTCTGATCTAAAACCCGCCAACTTCCTGCTGGTAGCTGGCAGGCTCAAGCTCATCGACTTCGGTATAGCCAGCTCGGTACAGTCCGACCGGACTAGTGTTATGAAGGATACTCAGATGGGAACATTCAACTTTATGTCTCCAGAAGCAATTCAAGATCTGTCAGGTTTCTATTATATTAAACTAATTATTAGAAACCAAACAGCAAACCGCACCATGCCCATTGCCCATCTAGAAGCTAATGATTTTTTTTAGGGGAGGTGGGGGGTAGTAATTAATATAAAATATGAATATAAACTCCATCAATTAACAATTTACTGAGTAAGGGGCGCCGTATGGCAAAGTTGTTTAAAGTCGTTTGTTTAAATCTAATTAAATAACTAAAATATATACGAAACGATTCTATTAGGAGATATTTTCTCTCCACAAATTGTCGTAAATCATATACAATATTTGTGATTTATAATACTGAATAAAGTTGTTAAGAAGAAGAATTAAATATCAAAATGGGGGCCTAAATTTCACGAAGAGGGAGATGTCAACCCATTCCCCCTACATCTGCACCAGTCTCTTAAAAATTTAAATAAAATTTGTTATGACATAAATACTACATAAATGACAAAAATACTATTTGGGACAGGATTGGCTAAAGTTTAAAATGTTAGAAAGCATTTACTTTATGTTTGAGAAGTTTAGGTTTTATGAATAACGTCATTTTCTTCCTGTAGGTCCCCAGTATGATGGATCTGGAGCAAGGAAACCAATAATCAAGATTAGTTATAAATCTGATGTTTGGAGCCTAGGATGTATCCTGTACAATCTCGCTTACGGCAAAATGCCGTTCGGGGACCTTAAAATTCCAATAATGAAACTACAGGTACTAGATGTTACTTAAAAACATACTATTTAAAGTGTTAAAATTTAAATTGACCCTTTATTAAAAACGAAAAGGGTGGCATGCTTTCAACGGTACCTTAGAAATTTTAATCTGATCAAGTATGTGGATTTTTCCAGCTTTAAATATCTTTATTTTTGTTTATTTCTCACTTTTGTAGTGAAACCAAAATTTAAAATAATCAGTTCTCAAAAACAAAAACATGAATATCTTTTTCATACTTAACCAGTCAAAGCTTTTGAGGGTACCATTGTTAAATGGACATTGGACATTCCACTTAATACAAGATCACTTGAAATGACGTTTACAAATTTACTTACAGTCACTTCCATCTGATTATTTTTACCAGAACAGACAGGATGTTGATATAGTTCATTGCTAATTATTAAACTTTTTTATCATTAGGCAATCTTGAACCCTGAGCATAAGATCCCTTTTCCATCCGCTAACGTGGATCCCCTTCTACTTGATGTGATTAAATCCTGTCTAACAAGGGATCTCAAGATCAGACCTAGCATTGAGGACCTACTCCGTCATAGCTACGTCACAGGTTAGTAGTACGTCAGTTATGTCACACGTACGTCAGCCGTCGTACATATTTTAGGTTTGTGGTACACTTAAATTTCTCCACATGTCCTTCGTAAGTTAAAGGTCAGTTCTATATCTTAATATATACATCAGGGTCTTATTTCTCTACAAGACTGCTCAAATGTGTGTATGTCAGACGTCATTTGTACAACGTACATATTTATAATTTACATGCATGTACTGTTGTACATTTCAATTTTACGTTAGAGCCCAGAGGGCTGTTGTTCTAAAATAACGATTAAAAAATTTCAATGACCGGAAGTCTCATTTCAATAAGTGATCGATAGAATCAGTTCTTAGGAAGTTAGGATCAGGATCAACCAATCCTGTTAAAAAAAAATTTTGCTCTTAAAATCCAAATCTCAACTTGTAACTACAAACTACTGATTTATTATCATAAACTTCATAATCTCTGAATAGTTAAGTTTTAGCATAAAAATATGCGAAAAAAGAAGAACATTTTTGATCTGTTAAACAAAAGAGTATTTCTTGGGAAAATGTTCATGACCTGGATTTGGATCCGGTGTGATGCCTGGAGAGAACTCGTACCTGCAGCGAACTCTGGTTATGCTACGCGGCAAAGCGCAAGATTCTTTAAACATAAACAAACACTTGAATTTATGGAACGGATTTGTTTCAGTTCTAATATAATGATTTTTGACCCCCCACCCCCCCTGCCCTATTATGCTTGCACACGCATGAGAGGGGGGAGGGGTCAAAAAGTGTTTTTTAGGACAGACACCAGTGATGTTATGCGTCAAAACGATGAAACTTGCGCTTTGCCGCGTGCATAACCAGAGGTCGCTGCAGGTACGAGTTCTCTGCAGGCATGACACCGGATCCACATTTAGATTAAAAGGATGCTAACCACTGCAGGTTAGAATAATAATAATAAAACTGTAATTTTATTATTTAGGTATTACCCCTGTAGTAGAGAATAAGGATCCCGTGAACACGGTTAAAATGCTTGCAGCTCTACAGGGTGTTCTCTCTCCTAACACTTTTGAGAAGACAAAGAGGGCCATGCAGGACCCACATCTTGTCAAGAAGCTGAATATGTAGGGTCTAGGGCCCATATTCTCTTGGTGTGGAGATTCCAGAGCCCACATTTCTAAGAGAAGAATATTGAATTTACAAAGATTCCAGAATCATTATTTTGAAATAATACATTGGCTTTCTAAACTGATTCTCTAAATCTTTGAATGTTAAGAATTAGATTGGTTTACCTTTTAGAATTTTTTTACCGAAAATGTTTGAATGTACAGTTGCTCTAATTTTTGTACCTTTAGAAATATTATATTTTTTATATATATGCCAACTTGTAAAAGTATTGATGTACATAACTTTCATTGGAATGGTTTTGTATTATTAACTTTCTATTGTCGCTAACAATACCTTGGGAAAATTATTACCTATCAACTGGTAGATTAATTAAATTTAAAGATGAATATATTTTATGCAAATTCGAGATTTATTTATCTACAGATTAAGAGAATAATGTATTTCAAGCAAAGCTGTCAACTTAAAAGAAACCAATTTATAGAAATATAAAGACAAGATGCATTTACAATTCTTTCAATTTAACAATAAACATTTCAGTATTCTTTCTTATCTTATTCATTTTATCCAAGATATTGAATATTTTTATAGCATTTTATATTTATAGTTTGTCATGTTTTCTGTTCATTGTATAACTTTAGTTTTGGATGGACATATATTTTAATGATGCTTGACGAATCAAATACCATTCTATTATCTTTAAATTGATGGACCAACCTTACAACGAAGTCAATCATTGAGATAAAGTTCTCTAGATCTCTAGAAGTAACCTTTACGCTTATGTAAATATGGATCAAAATGTTTGTATTTTCAGAGTCCCGGCTAATCCAAGATGGCTGCCATAGCCAGTAAATTGGGAAGCGCGGCATTGCCCGGCCTAGCTAACCTTGCAGGATCCAGTAAACTACTTGCCGTTGGACTTAATAATAAGGTAACGGATGGAATTGTAAATTGCATAGAATGAAAAAAATAAGAAAGACTAGAGAAGATTCCAGGACAATTACAAAATTACAAAATTACAGAAAAAAAGATGATCAAAAGCTGGTTAAGAGGATTAAAACTTAAAACTTTGAAAAGTTGATTTAAAAAAACAAGGGAATTTAAGTTTACTGAACTAAAATTCATGAAATTACGTTCGGAATTTATAAAATGTGTATTTGTAACGTGTAGTCAGGGAACGTTTAAAATTAAGGTAAACTGGAATTTTAAGTAAATGAAAAATTGGACAAAAATGCAATTTAATTCATTCTTTTACTCAACATTTATTTATTTTCTCCTAAAAAAAAATTATTTTCCCCAATTTAGCTAATAAAACCCGAAGAAAAACATAAATAACTTGGGGGGGGGGGGGGTGAATGATTTTTTTAGAAAATAAAAACACGCCTGAAATTTAAACAGTAGGTAGGAAATGAAAAAAAGACAGGAAAATCTTTAAATATAAAACAAAATCAAATTATCCATTTTAAAATAATCAAAGACAAGAGTGAAATTAATAAGTTCTAACATTGTAGGTACAAGCCTGCACTATTTACAGTAAAACCTCTGGTATGCTTGAACCAAGAGCTAAGCCCTGGCCCTACGAGACCCTCGGGTTTAACGCCTGGTATCATTACATTGACGGGACTACCAAGCGGTTTAATGATAACAGCAAGATTATAGTAGTGGAGGGACCACCAGGTCAGTTCAAAACTTAAAAGGACAGACCGGCAATGTATGATGGTTGAACTGAGTATGCAGTATTGTAGAAAAAAAATTGGATTCATCTGAGACATATGAAACGTTTCTACGGCTTTTAACTACTGAGTTTGAGCGCAAAGTCGACGTTCAAAATCATGAATTAGGTTGGATACGTTTTCGAAATCGCCTTTTAAGGTTTCTACAATACTACATACTCAGTTTAACTAACATATATTGCCGGTCAGTCCCTTTAAGTGTGAATAGTTTTTTAGATTTTTGGACGTCCCTTAATCCCTCTAAAAGGACTGTCGTTGTAATTTACAGTGACCTAATGAAGAGTACTGGATTCAAAACAGTTCATAGTTCATATTGAGAGAAATACTATCCCGTGTATTTTCCTGTATTTTGTAAATCTTCTGGGATATTATTTCTCATAATTGTCCTGGGACATCATGAGAAATATTGTCCCAGAAGTTACTTTTTGCGGATTTTAGAGTTTTTTCTCGTTCTTTTCGGTTTAAAAAGGAATAAAATTACATAAACGCCTTGTGTATATTTTGGATCAGTACATTTTTGCCGGGATTTTTTCTTAATTTAGTTTTTTTGAGGTTAAAATTCAAGCCTTTAAAATAATGTCCAGTATTTTAACACAAGGCAGTTGCATAAATAGATATTATCTGTTGAATAATGTGTGTCGGAAATCGTCGTTTTTTAGCTTAAAAAGTGATAATTTCTTTTAATTTTCTCCATTTTTTCGAAACAGTAATGCGTTAGAAACTTTGTAGAGAAACCAGAATCATAAAAGCATATACTGAAATCACATCTAGTCGTATTTATTTTAATTAACATTTTAAATCTAAGGTTTGGTAACTAAAATAGTCTTGAAGTATTATGTAGAACCAATAAAATAATGATGGGAAATTTTTTGTTTGTTTTTTCATTGGGATTACATATTGTTTATATGGATATAGGGATTTGTATGATATTGTATTTATAAAATAATATTTATCCGTCCTGGAACAATTTAATATTAAAAGATAAAAACAACTTTTAAATATTGGTTTTTATATTATAAAGTATTAAAGTTGAATAATTGGGCATCAACTGGTAATTTTTCTTTTTTTTTGTATCCGTATTTTCCCCTAAAATTCTATTATTATCTTCAATTCATGAGTAAAAACCTAAAATATTTTAATTAAAAAAAATAATATGTTTCAACTATACAACCCCCCATGGTTTGACCTGACATTCTAAATTTATTTTCTATTCTGATCCAAAAAATGACCTTACAATATGTCTATTGTTAGCATTTTATACTGGAAATATCAAAACTGTCTAAATTTCAGTTCTTCGAATAAAATAGATATTTTGTTATTTGGTTCAAAATATGTCAATTGTGATGAAACTTCTAGTTTCCACGAGCTCCTATTCATTCCCCGTAGATTTTAATATTCCCTCCTTATATTTGGAAGTTTTTTTAAGAATTGTACAGAGCGTCCCATACCATATTAGATTATCTCCAAGCTTTAACGCCAAAATACACACATAATACTCGAAAAACCTAGTATTTTCTGCAAGAAAACTTTTATAAAAAACCTTTAACGTTTTTAAAAATGATTTATTGTTTTAAAATTTTCTGATTAGTCCCTAAAATCGCAATTTTGAGCTATACTCGATCTAATATGATGTAGGTCACCCTGTAGATTTTAGAACTAAATTTTTATCAGGAATAAATGGTTTCTGTTAAAATCATGTACATCACTTTCACTTTGGGCCTCAATCTGGGAAAAATTCTGACATTGTAAATCATTCCATAACCCATATCCCTTCCGAAATATGTATCAGAGACGAATACTAAAGCTTTAATTCGTTTAGGACTGCAAAAGACTAAGTTTGCCAAGGAGTTGGCCGACGAACTTGACATGTTGTTCGTCCCTGGGGCCTCGATGGACGAGTTCTACACCAACTCCTACGGATATGATCTCAGAGAGTTAGATCATCTTTTCCATTATACCAAGTAAGTTGAACACCTTAATTGTTTATTCTTTTTTCATTTGATGGTGTTAACTACTCGATAATAGTCAGGGGCAGCTTATCATTTTTCCAATGGGAGGGAAAATAATTGAATTCACCCCCCCCCTGTAAAGCTATCGTATAAGAATTCCCATTATTACACGGTTCAGGAGGAACAATTTTAATATTGTTCGCTTACTAGCGTTTAAGAATGCTTATTCTTACTCTGTAGAATTTTCATTCTTTAACGCTCAGACCGTGTAAGAATGGAAATTATTACACGGTCAGAGCGTGAAAGAATGTATATTCTTACACGCTCCGATCATTAAAGAATGGAAATTCTTACACTAGTTGAAGAATATTCATTCTTACACGCTCCTTATATTGATCTTTTCAGTATAGATCAATATTGATATTAACTTAATTATTTTGTACTGAAAACATGTTCAGGGCAAACTCACCTTTTTCTTTTACATTAATACATACAAACTTGCCTTTTTAACTTAAAAACAAAATGGTCACTTACCTTTTTCTTTTATATTAAAACATGCTAACTTACCTCTTTTACTTTGTATAACATGCTCACTTACCTTTTTTGTTTTTTGAAGTATTGATATACCTTAATTCAGAAATATCAATTTGAATCTCAACCCTAGTCCTGACAGAAGAGTGGAAATTAACATTTACTGACCTTTCCTAAAAATATGGTCGATGCTTTTAGCCTTACATTAGACACTTTCATCAAACTGCCAAGTCTCAAAGCTTACTGCCTACTTATTATTTTTTTAGTTCATCTTCATTTCAAACCAAGTTTGGTGATCTCTGCGTACTTGAAATAGTATGGTCAGAGATTTTCAGTCTGAGTCACCATATCTCACATAGTTCGAGATGATGAAGTAAAACCACAATCAAAACCAAAAAAAAAATATATAAACTTATCATTGAAATATTAGTGTCACAACTTTTAATGGAGTCTTAGCACTCCATAGCAATGAAAACAAACCAGTAAATCTTGCTTCATGAATAAAAGACAAAGATCTTCATCAGTTCATGTCGAACTGATCCTTACTAGATAACCTGCTTTTGTCTCCTCTTTTTGGAAGATTTAGGATCTAATATCCAGAAAATGATTTCTTCTTTAAATGAAGACACGATATTGTTCAGTAGATTAAGACAACCCACTACTATACCTTCTCCCCATCTAAAAAACTCAGGGCACATTAAACATGCTGTTCCTAAATGTAGTATCAACTTGAAAAAACGAGCAAAATCATTAGAAATTGGTAAACAAACAAACTAAACTAAGGAAACAATCAAATCACATGCATTACTTTCAAATTAAGTACCAATTTTTGCTTTTAAAATTTTTTTTTTTAACATTTTAAAATTAGCAAAATAAAAAACAGTGATAGTCAGAACAAGAGCATAAAACTTATTGCAACCTTTCATAATGTGAACTGTTCCAACTTGAAATAGTCGGATTTCACCAAAATTATTTTTTAATATAATTTCTTGGGTATGTGCCCATGGAACCTCACAAATATGATATAATAATAATCTTATGAGGATAAAAATGTAATAATGGAATTCTTAAACTCGATGAAATAATCTTGATGCATTCTTTAACTCAGGCCTGCGGCCTTCGTTAAAGAATACATCAATATCCTACTTCTTAAATATTTCTAGATTTAAATCCTACTCCTTGTATATTTCTAAATATAAATCCTACTCCTTAAATATTTCTAGATGTAAATCCTAATTCTTGAATATTTCTAGATGTAAATCCTACTCCTTGTATATTTCTAGATGTAAATCCTACTCCTTGTATATTTCTGATGTAAATCCTACTCCTTGTATATTTCTAGATGTAAATCCTACTCCTTAAATTTTATTAGATGTAAATCCTACGATGAGAAGAAGTTTGCCCAGGACCCTAAGGGTCAGGAGGGAGGGTTGGACAGGATGCAGGATAATCTCTGCTGGCTCAGGTTCACTAAGTACACCAATGCGCTGGCCCATCTCTTTAACACTGGTCAGGTAGATAGATTGGGATTTAGCGGGATTAAATTATAAATTGGGGGCCGGGAGAATATCCGGACTAGAATTTATAAAAAAAAAGAATATTGTTTATTTCAAGATTTCTTTATTGAATTATTTTAGGGAATTGTGACTGAAAAATCCCCCTACACTGATCATGTGTTCACAGAAGCTGCATACAAGTTTGGATGGATAGATAGGGAATCAAGAGTATACTTTAACAAGGTAGGTTGATTGGTCGCTTGACAGGTTAGTTTTTTTGGATAGTTGTTTGGTTGGTAAGTTGGTTGGATGGATGGTTGTTCGGTTTGTAAGGTAACTGATTGATTTATAAACTAACTGGATTTATTTATTTGTGCTATATTTGAAAGTACAAAGATTATCTTTAAAATCAAAGTATTACTATGTTTTTTTTGTTTTTTTACTCATATTTTATATTTCTAAATAGTAAATATAATTATACATCAAAGTATAAACTTGAATTGAATCATGTTCTCCATCATCTTGTCTGTTCAATTTTATCAATTTGTTAAACTTTAGTTTTCAAATATTTGAAATTCAAAATAACTATGCAAATCTTTTTCCCTTTTCCAATTCGAAGAAATCTATAGAAATATTTGGTTTGTCTGTTTGTTTTGGTTTTTTTCCTAAAAACGTCAAAACGGCTGAATAGATCGGGCCAAAATTTAAATGGAAAAATTCCGCAAAAATCTTGAATGAAAATGAATAAATGGCAACTTTAAAAGCAACAGTAAAAAGCTAAAATTGTACTAAAAAATAAGGGCCCCGAAGCGCCATAAAACTTTAGTCATAAAAAGATTGCTAAAATATCTTACGAGAAATCAAGCTATTTATTTTATCTTGTATCAATTTCTCACTGTTCAAATGTTATCTAGATTCGTAAACAAATTCTACCCCCGCTGCTCCGACCCAACCTAATTATCTACCTGGATGCTCCGGTTGATGTTGTACAGTCTAAGATCAGGGAGAGGTGAGGATACTCTTTTTAAAGGGACTGTTCACGTAGTTTTAATTGACCTTCCATGCAAAGATGGTAATGCCTGATTCACAACGATACCATTTTCTGATCAATAACGTTAAAATCATTTTCAGGTTGAACTCTAAACAGTTATTGATTCTGGTGATTTCTACAGTTTTCCCGGCAGTAGAAATGCCAAAGCCGATTGTTGAGATCCCCACAATTAAAAAGAATTAGTTATTATGCTTATAAACATTTATATCTTATTCAATCATGATCAGACAAAGCTTTCCCAGTTGTTAATTGGGCATTGGCATCATTGCATGGAAGGTCACATTTGTTTATTAATTTGAATCCATTTAAATATTTAAATACTTCCTGAATCAATGTTTATCCCTACTTTTTGCGATAACGTGAGCAAGTGTTCAAAGCAAGGTTTCTCCTATTATTTTATGAGAATCTGATTATTAATTTAACTCACCTGTTATTATATATTTGGAACGTGCTTGGTCAAATCGAGTTTTTTTGCCCAACTGTGAAAAGCGGTTTGTTATTACACTTTGAAGTAACTGGACATCTCGGGGATCTTAATTTAATACATGAAATTATTTAGAGCGAAGACGACCCACCCCTGGGAGAAGAACAGCCCTGTGTTTGAGAATAGGGACTATCTGAATCTTGTTTACGAAGATTTGATGAAGAATCAATATATAAAAACAGCATCAGCCAGCTCTAGGGTAAAATTAAACATCTTTTTTATTAAAATTAAACTCGCAGTCTTTTTAAATTAGATCATCCTGAATTTAATATGTTGAAGAACTCACAACTAAATAGTTTTGGTTGAAATTTTTGCAAGAAATAAAATGTACCATGAAATTCCATTCCTTTGTTTACAAACTATTTGTACTGCAGTTTCTGGGAGAAATGTAACCAAACGCTGTGCTGCTCAGACTGAGCTTTTAATACATTTCTCCTAGAATCTGTAGTACACATCATTTGTATAGTACATGGTATAATATTTTGATCTTTACAAAACTGTCAGTTTTGAATGTTATGAATGTACTGAATGACCCTTGCAGTACTATATTACCTCAGAGCCCGAAATTTAAAAGAGTATCGTTCAACGAAACCCTTGAGTTTCCTTTTTGGGGTCTTAACATTTTGTAGATTTTTATTTGAGAGATTCGAGAAAAATGGAGAATAGGAAGAAACAAATATTTCATAACAAAAATATCGATATCCACAAAACTGCTTAATCCCATTCGTAAAACCCGGGTTTTAAAACTGGTTTTCATAACGATACCCTGTCTTAAGTTTTGGGCTCTGTTCTGAATGTACGTAATGCTCCTTTAGCCCAAAACTTAAGACTGGGTATCGTTATGAAAACCAGTTTTGAAACCCTGGTAATTCACGAATGGAGTTAGGCAGTTTTGTGGATATCAATATTTTGTTATGAAATATTATTTTGTTTAGTTTCTTCATATACTCCATTTTTTATCTCTTTAATCAAAATCTACACAAATTCATTGACCCCGAAAAGGAAACTCGGGAGTTTCGTTCAACGATACTCTTTTAAATTTCGGGCTCTGAGCCCAAAACTTAAGACTGGGTATCGTTATGAAAACCAGTTTTAAAACCCGGGTTTCACGAATGGAGTTAGGAAGTTTTGTGGATATCAATATTTTTGTTAAGAATGTTATTTTATTTAGTTACTTCATATTCTCCATTTTTTTCGAATCTCTCAAATCAAAATCTACACAAATGTTAGACCCCAAAAAGGAAACTTGGGAATTTCGTTCAAACATACTCTTTTGAATTTCGGGCTCTGTTCTGAATGTACTGTATTACCCCATTTCTGTACACTGAATGGCCTAAATGTCCAGGTGTTGATGTACGACTGGTCCGAGGGAGGAGATACCGAGGTTGTTGTTGAGGATATTGAGAGATTAAACATGGATTTCTTTGATAAATATGATAAACAGCAACAAGACTGGAGAATGCTGAAGGAGGTAAGCTGACCATCTAGCTCTTTTTGTCACGTGCTGTGCGGTGCAGCGTGTGCTATTAAAGTTTTCTCTAGTGCCGCATTTTCAATCCAAAACAAAACAAAAAACTGTGTTTTTCCTCGGTGTAGACTGTAGATGTTAATGTTTTCGGTCGTATGGCCGCATTGCGGCTTAGATTAATACTTAAGAAAAGTTGAAACGGCTTTTTTGATTTGATTTACTTAATTGCTTTTCCTAAAATTTCTTTGCTTCAAATGTCTTTGATTTTGATTATCTTTGTTTGTTTGCAAAATGACCGACGCATTTATGCTTCTGAGCTGCAATGAAAGAAATTCATATTCAGAGGTAAAGCGGAAATGTCAGAAGTTAGTTGGTACCTTTTTATGTATGGGGGAAGGAAACAGAAGTGACGGGGCGACACGGGAGCATTAAATTTATGTCAATTACACCTGTTTGAATAATGTTATTGTTTAGGACAAGTACGCTAGAAAGCGTCAGCAGTACACAAACCGGTATCACATGGACAGTCATTACAGGGTTGACTACTTCGAGATGGACAAGTAATTAATTAATTCCACTATTTGGCGGTTTATTTTTTTCGATTTTTTGTTAAATAGATGTTGATTTTAAAATAAAAATGCACGGTTTCATTCAAAACAATTGATACAAATTCAATTTTAAAGCATAACAAGTATTTTATTAAGTTTGGGATTTAAAAATAAAACAAATAAGTAACAAGATCTAAGATTATTTCTCAACGTAAATATATGTGGAAGTTTATGAAATAAATATAGGTTAACGTATAAGTAAAATAAACTAAGTTTATTACACACTAAGCTAGACACCAGGAGAAGGTCGAGTTGATGCGACAATACCGGCCCGAATATGTGACCTCCTCTTGTATAGAGTTTTCTCACAGTTACGAGAAAACCTTATTTATCCGGTTATTAAATAAACTTCAAAACTTATTATTTTAATAGTTCTTATGAAGGCACAAAAACAATTAAAAGGATCGTATATGTAAAATAAGCAAAGTATATTGCTCTAAAGAGGAGCGTATATGTAAAATAAGCAAGGACCGTATATGTAAAATAAGCAAAGTATATTGCACTAAAGAGGACCGTATATGTAAAATAAGCAAAGTATATTGCTGTAAAGAGGACCGTATATGTAAAATAAGCAAAATATAATGCACTAAAGAGGACCGTATATGTAAAATAAGCAAAGTATATTGCTGTAAAGAGGACCGTATATGTAAAATAAGCAAAATATAATGCACTAAAGAGGACCGTATATGTAAAATAAGCTAAGTATATTGCTCTAAAGAGGATCGTGTATGTAAAATAAGCAAAGTATATTGCTCTAAAGAGGACCGTATATGTAAAATAAGCAAAGTATATTGCTCTAAAGAGCACCGTATATGTAAAATAAGCAAAGTATATTGCTCTAAAGAGCACCGTATATGTAAAAGGAACCAAGAATATTTCTCAAAATAAAGATGTAAAAAAAATAGCTTTCAAAAGAAACTTGCATATTTGTAAAAGATAAAATTACTCTAAAAATCAACTTAAATGTTAATTAACAAAGTTGCTAGCAAGGTTCTGGCCGGCACTACTAATATAATAGTTTTTCCATTCATAATAGATAAATAGATATTACTCTGAAATGAAGCTAAAGGAACAGCGTAAATGCTAATAACCCTAGATAGGAACGTACATATATGCAGTGCTTAGGATCCTTTAAGTTTTGATGCAGATCCGGATCCGCACGGGAAAAGAATGGATCCGGATCCAGGTCATGAACATTTATTTAAGATTTGATGATTTTTTTTGACAGAAGAAGAATGTTTGTATTATTTTTCTCCTTTTTTTACTTTTTTTACGGATCCGGATCCCGCAATCCAAATTTTGCAAATCCAACGGATCCGGATCCTCATCCTAAGCACTGCATGTATTTAAAAAAAATTGTTTTCATAATAAGGAACAGTCTTTATTTTGTTAATTTTTTCAATATTCCCGTTTCTGATTTTGTTTTGTTAATTCTAGGATTCTTTTTACTCCTGAGGAGATGAAGGAGTTCCAGTTCCATGCACACAAGGTTCCAGGAGCAAGGTAACATACAATAACAGGTTCAGGTTGGATATGGAGGATATAACTGGATAGAAAAGGATGGCAGAGGATAGAACAGGGGTAGAACAGGGATAGAACGGGGATAGAACGGGATACAACTGGAAAGAACCAGGGATAGAACAGGAATAGAACCAAGGATAGAACCAGGGATAGAACAGGAATAGAACCAAGGATAGAACAAGAACAGGAATAGAACCATGGATAGAACCAGGAATAGAACCGGAATAGAACCATGGATAGAACAAGAACAGGAATACAACCAGGGATAGAACCGGAATAGAACCAGGGATAGAACAGGAATATATCCAGGAATAGAACCAGGGATAGAACCAGGGATAGAACCAGGGATAGAGCCTGGGATAGAACAGGAATTTATAACAGGAATAGAACCAAGGATAGAACAAGAACAGGAATAGATTAGGGAATCTTGGTTTAATTCTTTTATTGTTCAAGGTACCAGCACGGATACAACGAGGAGCTGGATGATAAACCGTCCTGGTTCAAGATAGGAGCTAAGTTCTCAAGATTCCATGTAAGATTTTATCCGGTCTTTACTAATGCTCACAACATTTTTAAAATTTAAAATTTTTGACCTCTAATATTGTTAATTTGTTTAGAAAAACACTCACTACTCCTTGGACTCGCACTTCATCGACAACGTGGAGTGGGAGCACTACGCGCAGCAGAGGCAGGCCAAACGTGCTGCAGGGGTGGAGAAGTGGTGGCAGTTCTAAATCAACATTAAAGGAACACTTCACTAAAAATATGCATACAACCTTTTCATTTTAGTGAACAATTCTTTTTTATATTTACTTGAGAATATATTCTGTAAAAATATGTGAGAAGAAAGCTGTTTCTCTAGTAGACCCGAACAATTGTTTAGTATCTGAAGAACCCTGAAAACATCTGTTCTTTCAACAACTAGTGATAAATTTAAATATTTCAGATTCCCCGTTAGATAGATAGAAAGATAGATAAGATGGGTTTATGTAAATGTCCCAAAAGGAAGGTTACAAACCAGTTCTGTTTTGAGCACAGGGTTAACGTCTGTGAACACTGTATGGTCAACAGTCATAAAAAGGTAAAGTATAAACTATTAATTATTTATCTTCCTCAAATTAGATTCAGCGCTTTCTACTCAGACTTTAGGTTGTGGAACGAAATTCTGAAAATGAATGATTTGATGTTTTCTTTCATAAAAGCAATCCACCCACCCTCGTTCATAGATAACTTTTATTTTAGGGGGGAAAAGGTATTTTTGGGGGAAGGGGGGATAAGGCAAGAAAGTGTTCTAGAATAAAAAATTGTGATTATTAGTTTTTTATGTAGTTTTTATGAAATATATTATATAGCTCCCTCTCCAATTGATTGAATTAGTGGGCACCGGGCATGAATGACGCCAAAAATTTTCCTTCATCTAACTTTTCTTTATGTTGCATATAATACCAGTGTCCTACTAAAAATGAAATTTAATTTTCCGGAGATCTGAAGAAAAATTAAAACCAAAAGCCTTTCAAGTGAATTTCGACCTAAAATGATGTCCTTTATCCACAAGAGTGAAAATTCAATTTCTTAAAGTCCTCCTTCATTGTCCAATTTGGAGAGATAATTTTGAGAATCTGTTTTTTTTTAATTATGAAATGACGACCACGAAAAATGTAACAAAATTCGACAGTAAACCAATAAGGTGTTTAAGAACAGATTGAGTAATAAAAATTAACTCTTTTCATCAAAAGTAACTAATCTTATTCAATTATTAGTGTATGTAATGTCTCATTGTTCTCAAACGTTTTATGTAAATTTCCTGGAATTTTATTGAAAAGACGACATTTGAAGAATTTGAATAATCTGCGAAATCGGCAAAATCTGCAAACAACTTCTTAGAGAAAAAGAAATTCAATATAATGATAAAAGGAAATAATTGGTTCTAAAACTGATTTATTGACAAATTTATATTGAAAAATTCCTAAACATTCAATAAGTTTACCTTAGAGTTTTTGTTCCATTTTTCTTCGTAGGCATTGAATAATTTAAAAAAAATCGATTCTCAAAATTATTGGACAATTAAGAAGAATTTTAAAAATTGAATTTACACTCTTGCTGAACAAATATGCACCGTAAAAACATCAGAGGTCTCAAATGAATACTAAATAATTTCTTTACAAAACTGCATTCAGAGTTGAACTACCATTGCTAGTAATTAAAGGAATTTTATGGTTAAGTCGTCTTCGTCTTGTAGAGTTCACTTGGCTCATAGTATTTGTTGGCAGATTGTAATAGAAATAGTAATTAATTTGATCCTGTCTTAAGGTCATCATGTCATGGTCTGAAACTTATTTAGGAACTACAACTAAGACAACATAAAAAAAGTGGCATGTGCGATTAACACTGATATTTACGAGAATAAATGTGAAATCTTAGTTAAAAATTTTAAAAATTAATCATTTTTAATTTTGTGTTGTCTTTGAAAGTGACATGCTGATTTCTGCTGCATAGATGATAGAACATGTCCATATAAGAATACAGACGCTATTATCTACATTATTGATGTGAAAAAGGATTAAAGGGTACCGTTGTTAATCAGACTTGCCCTATTTCTAATGGAGGGTCACTTGAAATTTTGAAATTTAAACGACAGGTTTTAAAATTTGGAAAATGGAAGTAGGACTTTTATAAATCTCTGATTTGATCTGATTTAGAAAAATATTCAGATGAATGATTGTTTAGTGTGTTGTACAATCCTACCTAGCCTGGCTGCAAGACTCAGATTTCTCTCCCGACTGCGGGTTCTGCAGATCAAACCTTGCTGAGGAGGAATGCGTCAGGTAGAGGAGCTCATTCATTCATCCTTCTTTTCGTTCTTTTATTCATATATTCATTATCCTTAGTACAACCGTGCTGAGAAGTGCGTCAGGTTGTAACTCATTTATTCATTCATCCATTCATTTCCCATTTATTTTATTAGGGTGACCCATTTTGCAGTCTGATTTCCCTCAAAACCTAATAGTCTATTATTGTTCTCTATGATGACAGTTATCATAGGAATTTTTTTGATCTAAGTCTATGGGAAGTGGTGGTACAGGGCCAAAATGGCAAAAATTATATATTTTATACAAAAATCGGACACTTTTAATTTTGAAACAAGATATTGTTCTCTATGATGTTAGTTATCACAGGAATTTTTTATGTCGACTATTGGTAAGTAGTTGTGCAGGGGTCGTGCAGAATCACAAACATGATCAATTTTCTTAATAAATCAGACATTTTTAAGATAAGACTTGATATAGAAAAAAATTGCACTAAAAAGACATTTTTTAACAATTTTTAACATTTTTTAACATTTTTTAACATACTAGACTTTTATCTATTTAAATTGTGAACATGTTCTTTTTGTTTAGATTTTAAAACAAAGAAGAAGAAAATTTTGCGGATTTTAAAAAAAAAATTCGTGGATTTTCAAGAATTTAAATTTTTTTACAAAATTAAAAACCTTTAAAACACTGTTTTTAATTTTTATCTTTCATAAACCTTCCCTGTGGTCACGTGATGTCCCACACAAAATTTGGGCCCGTTCGGTTCAGCCGTTTTGACGTTTGTTGGATACAAACAAACAAATAGACAGACAAGCCAAATTTATATATAGATTTATTGAAACACTGAACACGCATGTTAAAGGGCTACAATAATTTCGGAATTCAACAACATGAAGTGCGTATTTTAAATACTAAAATATTTTCTCAAGATTGTTTTCATTTTTTCAAGGTTATTCTAAACAAGCATTATAAAAAGATCAGATTCTGCAGGGGGCCCTGCACTCCCACTTCCCATAGACTTATACCTGTGATAACAGACATCATAGACTGCTAGGTATTTGCGGTGCAATAGTTCTATATTTTCCTGCAAAATGGGTCACCCTAATTTATGCATCTTTTCTTACATTTATCCATTTATTTATTCTTTCTTAACCCATTTATTCTTTTGTTTTCCAAATAAAATCTACTAATATTTGTTATCTTAGAATTAATATTATTATTAATTTAATATCAATTTTTAAGTAATCATTTAGAATCGTTTGTAAACAAATCCCAACCCTTCTCTCTCTCTATATATTTCACAATATATTTCGCCAAAAACTTCACAAGCAACAAAAAAAAGAATTCTAGACAATGAATCTATAAAAAGGATATCTAATACAAAACTTGAATGAACAAAGAAAAAAACAAGAAAATTTAGTAACTTAACAATAAGAAATTTGTCAAATGAATAATGTCAAGACAAATAAAACTTGAACAGATAAGTAATAACCTAAACCATACCTTACTATTGAATGACNGGTGTTGAAGGGGATAGATTTCGTTGGCAAAACGGTCAAATACATGAATTCGATCAACACACCAAGGAAATAATGTACATTGGTATTACATAAATAACCATGCAACTTAAAACAAAAAATTTTTTAAGGTCGCAATAAACATTTTTTTTTTTTGTTACCATCATTATGTTATTATGTACCATGTTCTAGATTGACCTGTTACTGCTTGTACCACTGGAGTTGTTTGGATAATCATTGTAGAAACCTGCCAGCCAATACAGCACCAGCGGGATATATATGTACACAGGTATATCAAACTTTTGCTTTTGGGAAAATGTTTTCTTTGCTTCCAAAATTTGTTTAAATCGCTGAGGAAACCATGAAGTAACAATTCTTGGGTATATTTTTTTATAGTTCATTAGTAGTAAGCAATCTTCTTTTGTACGTCTCACAAACCCTTTGACCGATTTGACTCAAATTTGTGTTGGAGAACTCGGTAGAACAACTTGAACTTTGCTTGGTTTTAAAATTCCAAATTGAATGGGTTGACTTACATAGAAAAAGTTTAGTTGTAAGGGTAAAGCATGGTTCCCAGACTAGTTTTTCTTAGAAAAAAATTAAACATTATTTTTAGCAAAAACCAAACAGCAAAATCATTTGCGCCGAGTCTAAATTTCTGTTTGACCTCGCCTAGCCCCACTCTTTACGAGGGTTTAAAATGGTCAGACTATTAAACAATTTGCTTCGGATTACATTTTTTTGTTTTGAAAATAAATTTTAGATAAATCTGCGAATGTATAGTAAGTATACATTGCAATTAGTTTTATTAATTATTTAAATTTTATTTAGTGTGATGCTTCAATCTTCCCACCAGATAATCTAGTTTCTCCAGTAGCAGATCAGCTACGGAAACTTCTACAGGATGTGAACTGGGCTAGAGCTGGATTAGGTTTACCCCTGCTAGCGGATAATGTTGAGAGAAAACCAGGTTCTGCACCTGTAGGTAGGATTTTACAGTATTTTTAGATTATTTAATTTTGATTGTGCTTTAGTTAATTTCAAAATTTTCTGTTTTTCGGGTTTTTATTGATCAGAAGTCAGAACTTATGTGTTGTTAATCTTGGGATCAAGAGTTGATCTCTATCTCATCCAGATCTCGGATGAACTTAATTCCTCTGCGATATCCCGTCACGGTCATACCCTGCAGGGATCAATGAATCTAACAATGATCCTCAAACCAAAAGTTCACACATTGAATATAGAGTTTAAGCGTCCAATGTCCAAATTTAATGAATTTAGGCCTCGTCTTAAATCCGCCAAAAATCGGTTTCAACTGAGGCGCGGCTTAAAGCATGAAACATTGAATTCAATTTTAAGTGAAACCAACCATATTTGAGCCGCAGCTTAAATTTAAGCCGCCGCTCAAATTCTTTAAATTCGGTCTCAAGATTTTCAGCATCCACAATTAAAGTTCCGATCTCAATATCCATGAAAAATGTTTTGCTTTAGAAAATAAATCTTTAAAAAACAAAGATTTCTATAAATACGCCTTAATTAATCAATTCCAAATATTCTGTTAGCTTAATTAGCGAATTCTAGTATTTTTTCTTATGCTTTGTATTTTCAAAATATATTTTTCTAAAAATTCCAAATTTTAGGACCTCGCCCAACTCCAGAGGGAGAGGACAAATCAGGAGATACAGCTCATCTAGCTCATGAGCTTGCATCAGGTATAATCATTCATCATTCACATATTAATTCATCCTTTTGTCATTCATTCTTTTATATATCCATCCATGGACATTTGACATTGACAATGTTATCTTTTTTTATTATTTTATTTTCATCATTTCTTACATTTTTTAACAAATTCAATTTTTATCCTTATATTTTTCACGATTGTATCCTTGCTCACATTATTCAGTTCAAGGTATTAAAGGAAGTGATTTCAATGGTGCTATAATGAAACATGATCATATTTGGTTTATTAACACATAACTGGAGTTTCTTAAGCATTTGTTTGCCTATGTGGAAGACTTTCCGATGTTCATATCAAATTCAATGTCAAAGAATTGAAGAAAAAAAATTCAGAAAGAGTTTCTTAATTTATTACTTACTTGCAGTTGATCCTACTTCACTTAATCATCGGCATTTAAAATCTTTTTTCAGAAAACAGTTAGTTTAATTTTTACATTTTTGATTTTAAAAAATCAAGACCATATCAAATCTTGACAGGACTGTAAGTGTAATCTCAACTGCCTCTCCATGCAAAGATGGCAATATTCGATTCACAACCGTACCCTGAAAAGCTTTGTTTAATTAATTATAAAATGGATATCAATGTTATAAATTTCGAAAGCTGATTATTTTTGATGTAATTTTTCTTCTAAAGTGAACTCAGAAAAACGGCAATATCTTCCACATTATTGATCAAATTAAGATTTCAAATGTACTATTGTGAATCGGGCATTGCCTTAAACACTTATTCTGAATAGGGAAGAAGGGAGGTCGGAACACCAGCGGAGGTTGGAAGAATGACACTGTCGTCAACTTTGAAGCTTCGACCTCAAGACGCCTGAATAGTGATGCTAGTCTGAGTTCTCCTCTTCTTGGAGGAGGAGATCCAGACTCAGATAGTAATAAATACAAGAGACGATCACCCACCGAGCTCTTATTCAGGTCAGACTTTTTCAATGTAAAGGGTATCCGCCTAGGTGCAAACATTTGAAAAACAACTAACATGATGATAAAATGTAGCCCCCTAATGACAGACACGCATATGATGTGATGATGAAATGTAAGCCCCCTAGCGGCAATATATGTTGGGCGTACACGGGGGGGAAGGGGGCAGTGCCCCCCAGACCTGTAACTCAGAGCAATAACACTCAAATCTGAAATTGATAAGAGAAAAGAACATTAAAAAATTAGTGTGCTGTTTTTGTCTGCTAGTTTTGTTTGAAGGAGAGATAAAGTATTACTTGCAAGGTAATTGGACTGTATGTGTACCTTTAAAGTATCGAAGAAGCCAAATGTTTTGAATTTACAGTTCCAATTTTGCCCCCCCCCCCCCTAGGGTGGGGATATTTTGCGCTTCGCGCATATTTGGCCCACACCCAGATTTATTTCTGTGTACGCCCTTAAGAAGCAGATGTTGAAAAAAAAAATAGGAATAAAGGGTAGCCTCCTAGAGTCAGACATTTGAAACACTTTTATTATGATGATTAAAGATAACCTACTAGCGACAGACTTTAAAAAACAACTAAATAGGTATGAAGGGTAGCTCCTTCATACCTACATACGTACATTTAAATCACATATAATTTGATGCTGAATGGTAGCTCCTAGCGGAATTTATATGAAGCACAACTAATATACTATGAAAGGTAGCTCCCAGCAGCAGACATTTGATTTGACATTAGCGGCAGACATTTAAAAAGAAACTAATACGATGATAAAACTGTATTCCTAGCATAGGCTATTGAAAACAAAACTTGGATGGTGATTTAGAAAATGGCAATTTACAAAGAATTCTAAATGACGAGAAAGATAGTTTGGAAAATAATGCAAAAATAAGTGAAGAAATATAAATCTGATGAATCTTGAATAAATTTTGAAAGTTGAAACCAACCAGCCTATTTTTTCCATAATTAAATGTGAAATTTTTATCATTTAGATGGTTGAAATCCTTGACTAAACCTGCTGCACAGAGAAGAAGAGGGCCTGCTGGATACTGTATGCTTATTCTTACTTTAATCATAGTTATAGCTTCACTAGCCGCTATATTCAGGTACTACCTTGGGAACCCAGATTTGCCTGTAGTTTCCCTATTTGCTAACGAATCCCAGCCCTATCCAAAGAGAATAGAATATATATTAGAGTGGAATTTTCTAGAAAAAAGTGTAAAACAGCCATTTTGTTGTACTGTTTCCATACTGCAGGTGTACTTCACATATTTGTGCTATATAACCTTTTGGGCCCTGGAATATCATTTTACAGAAAATCTAAAATTAATGGTAAAAGAAACCCAAATTATGAAATAGGCTGGTTTCATAATTGACCAATGATCATTTCACATAGACTCTATGCCTTTCACTTTACAAACGATGATTTTCCGTTATAACTATAAATAAAATGATGGTTTTTATTCACCTAATTCATTATAAAGTTTATTTAACAGCTTTAAAAATTTCGAAATTGAAATGGATAGTCCAGGGAACATACTGTATTAATGTACTCTACTCATAATTTGTGAACATTTACATGATTTGTGCACTTTAAACTCCCTTTCAGGCTGAAAGGGACTGAAAAAATTCATACCGAGAGATTCTTTAAATTCCTCTCTAATATATATTCTATTCTCTATGGCCCTATCTCTCACTAGAATGATGTCATTTTTTTCTCGATATATTTCCCCAAACGCTATGACTTCATCAATTTGTCCCTAAGTAAAAACAGATGTGAACAATCAAATCTAAAAATGAAATATTGTCTAAACAAAACATAGGAACAAGAACGGAATTTTAAAACATTTAAAATGTAAAACCTATGTATCATATCGTAATGTAACAAATCTCTTTCTGAAACGGGACTGCACAGTGTATTCGTAAATTTTTTCTTTTTCTAGAGGGCATGTTCTATTCTTAATTGTACCATTTAAACCCGTTTCTCATTAACCACGAGGTAGCTATCATAGTTTCTCTAGTTCGGAAAGTGTCACAATTTCCTACATTGTTTTTGCAGCATTAATGAGAGAACCTACATTTTGGTTAGAAAAACATGAATAACTCAAAACATTCTTGATAAACAAGGGTTTGAAGGGGTACCGTTGTGAATCAGACATGCCACTCTACGTTGACAGTCCCTTTAAAGGGGAGGAACTGAAAAAATTATTGCGCAGATAAATATTTAGAAAGAAATTCAGAACAAAAAGAAATTAGAAGGAAGAAGTTTCCAGGAATCCGATTAGTTCAAATAGGAATCTTAGACTTGAGATTAAAAAAGTTTAAACTTGTTTCTGTAGGAATCTATCTACTCTGTACCTGGAGTGGAAGGG